AGTCACCAAACTTGACATATAGCTTCTAAACTAGATTATATATATGCATTTGATGTTGGAAGAAGAGGGTTCAGGGTATCCCCTAGTCGGGAGCTCCCGACTAGAACCACTTACTTGTTTTATTATGGCTGGCTCGTTAAAATATGTATCTACGTGTTCTTTGGGCTCTGAGGTCTTTCATAAGCTGCACTGACAACACCTCTATTTTTGCCTTTAAGGGTCTTTCCAGCTGGACCATGGCTGGTAATGACTCATAGTTAAAGGTTTCATATGAAGAAAAAATAATTTCTTAAACTTAATTACAAATTATCCTTTAATAATTGAATAAATTGACAATCGATACATTGTGCGATATACGATGTATGTATGTATGTAATAGTGTTCGGACCCAGACGTATCCGACATTTTACTGCCGGCAAAATAAGCTCGAACTTATGAAAGCTCTTATGTCAATAAATTAAAGCTGAGGGGTTAGTTTGCTTAGGAACAAGAGTGAACCGTAGTGAAATAAGATCTCACATGTCAAGGAATTTTCTTTCATTCTTGGATATCATAGTACTAGACAATAAGCATTATTTATAGCCTGCAGGAGTATTTAATCGTAATAAAAACTATAAATGCTAGATACTTTAAATTTGAAAAATATATTCTTTTACAACGTACGTAAAATTTGGTTTTTTAAGCATAGCTCAAAAATTTAAGTACTAGTACTACACGAAATTTGGTATGTAGACCCATACATACATACATAAATTATGAATATTTCTCCCTTTCACGCTAAAACTGAAAATAGTTAAGGCCTTGTAATTTCGTAATTTTTAGCAAGAACATTGAGTTATTAAGTGCGACGCAGGCGGAAGAAGCAACTTTGTCGCTGCGCAAGGCATTCTGGGATTTAAATTGAGCTACTTACATATATGTATATAGAATGTTCTATGGTTAGTGGCTATATTTTATGATTTACAGAAAGTAGGGCGTAGTGCCATAAACCACAATAGCTAACTGAGAGGTGCAGGGGATTTTGAGTCGAGTCATCTCGACTATTGAGATGCAGTATAAAAATAATAATAATTATAATAGGATCAATCAGTCGAATGTAAAGATTTTGTAAAAATGCAAACCTCTAACATATGTTCACAAGGGTATTCACAAGTCGGTGATTTCCATCTTCGTAGTCGTATTTTCCATCTTCAAAAGCCGCAAAACTCGATTAAAAATCTCAATTGCTGCCACGTCAGCCTTTTGGTTGTCTGTCCGCTTCCCAGCTGGCCAGTTTTTGTCTAACGAATGTATTTACATGTGAGCAGCTCCAGCCAGATCAACAGCTCAGAACCAATTCGTAGATAAGTCACGTTGTCAACAAAATCCACAGCAAATTAAAACTAAATACATATGTGAACGAACTGTGGAAGCAAAGTATCTTAACGACCTTTGGCTGACATAAATTGATAAGGTCGCGCTACGGTTTCATCAAATGCGCGACTTTCCGTCCCGTCGTGTAAATAAATGCGGCTCACATATTTAATAAACATCAGTTTTTTCTATACTCGTGCAGCGTGTATTAAAGTCTTATCTTGAAATGAGTAACGCACACATGGAGTCAACTCCGATCTTGCGAGGTATGTCTAATATAATCTTTCGGCCTGTTTGTTTCTATGCATTCTAGTCTCTTGCATAGGTTCGGCTTTTAGATGCATTTTTTATGCCGGAATCGGCTGAATAAGACTAATGTATCATATTGTACATATGAAGTTGCCATAGGTATGATCGGAAAATTCCTATATGAAAACTTTGTTCTCATATTTTGATCTACTTTTCAGAAAACTCACCAACATAATATTATGTTATTAAAATGAACGCGAATAATGGGCTAAGAATGTACTTTTATAACAATATTGTTTGTTGACTAAGCTCAGATACTTGAAGACTTACCATTCTCATAAGATATTCGCAGAGCCTTATTGACGTCTTAATAACATACTATGTATGTACATATGTACATGTTTATATGGAACAATCAATATAAAAACCTTTCTAAGCCACACATATCTCTGCAAGGGTATTTAATCTTCAACATTTCAAAAATAGATGTCGTCTCTTGTTATTAAATCAAATGTATTTTCCAAGAAATAACACAGATATTACAAAATCCTCAGTTTGATTTGTGCTCTTCTGCGAATTCGTGGAAAAATCCAAACAAACAAAAAAATCACCCGCGGTATCAATGTGTTGAAGTAGACACACAGTCGGTTGAATGGTGATGATGATGTGTACATATATGTACATATGTACATTTGTATTTAAAAATGTGCAAATTTAAAGTCCATACCTAGTATAGAGTAAGCTTTCGATTTCAAAACTTAAATGTGTATGTACATATGTATGTATGATGTATCTACATGTACTTACTTAACTTATTGAATCAGTTTAATTTTCTATGGGAATTTCTTTTGATGGAATTTGATTTGAATGCATTTATGTATTGAGAATGATTTTAGATCTGTGTCAATTTAAAATAGAACTGAATAAGAAACACAGAACTTGAAAATTTGGTATAGGGTAAAAAAAAATTGCGAAGACTCTTTATCAAAATTAGAATGCTTTTAAAATAAATAACAGGCCGCTTACCTTATTATAAGAAGTCCCGTTATTGCTTTCTGTTATTTTTTAAATTAACGACAAGCATACAAATTCTAATAATTGTTTATTATAATAAACATATGCACATGTATGTTTGTGTGTGGCTACGTGCGCCTTGCTCTCAGACAGTCATGTTACATATGTTTATTTGCAAGTACAAGTATGTTTATATGTGAGCACATGTATATTTATATGTTCCCTTCTCATGCACAACTGCATACGAGTAATGTAAGCTACAAACACAGAGCCGTACAAAGCAGCGCTTATTGCGGGGGTCCGTCTTCGATTAGCTAATAACTATCCCACAAGGTGCTGCAAAGCTTACAACAACACGAGACAACAACAAGACTTGCTTTACAATCAAAGATCTCAGCAAACAAAAAACTCGAGAACAAAAACAAATGGTACCCTCTCAGCCGCTCTTCAGACTATTCTAGAAAATGTTATAATTTGTATACCCCAACTCATTGCAAATGGGTAAATAGGGTTTTATGGTTTTGTGCAAATGTATGCAACAAACACACGAAAAAATCTCCGACCCCGCAATTTTAGAAGTATTTGTTATACACACACATTTTGATGTTCCTTAAATTCGATAAAGATCGAAGTAAATCACGAATGTATGTACGTACATATTTCCCATATGTGGCTTAGGAAAGAAGTCGCAGCGGGAACTCAGCATAAATTATTTTCTTAATGTATGTGTAAAAAAAAGCTAAGAAGTTTGTTACGGCAGCTCGCCGCGGGATTCAGGGAATTTCCCAGTCAAGCACTCCCGACTGCAGCAGTCTTAATTATTCCTATTCTATTTAATATATTTTAATTTAGGAAACTTATATTCTTAAGTCAAAGCGATTTTCTATATTTCAAGAAGAACTACTTTTTAATATCTAAAATATATAAAAATGTTAATGGAAGTTTTTAGGCTCCTAAATTATTAAAAATGTAAGCCTTTTCTTAAGCTTAGAAAATATTTTCTGAAAATTTATGTTTTAGACAAATTTTTTTTGCATAAATTGGAACTTAAATGAATGACAAATTAATAAAATTTAGGACCAATTTTATACAAAACCATATACCCTTTTGCAACGAGTTCTGCCTATTATAAAAGTAATGCTTTTTGTAAATTCTTCCCCCATTCCCTACAGAACTAAAAAACTCAATTTCAGTATATACACTCTTACATATTCAACTCTTGATCCCTGAAAATTTCAAAAAGATCAGATTTTAAACACCAAAGATAATGAAGATCGCATTTCCCGCAGGAGCGTTCTAAGGGAAGAAGAAGCAGGCGGCATGCGGGCATATTCCTTTATATTGGTGTTTTATGTATATATGTATGTATGTGTACATAGTGTCGAAAATAATTGATATTGTGCAACACCAAAATACTCTTTTCACTTAGTGAACTAGTATAAAATTGAGCACAATTGTTAAAATTTTGAGTGCGGCTCTATATATTGTTAATCGGTCCGTTTACGCGGACGGAGTTCGATACTTGAACTTTGCCATGTATGTAGATTAAGCTTATTTAAAGCTATCGTTACAAAGTTGTTAGCTTCCTTTTATTCAAAACACACACATTTGTTCACACACTTATAAGAACCAACGTCGCAAGCTGAGCACTTTACGTAACGACTGTGCTTCTTCTTTGCTAAGTATTATATTATAGGTGTTTTTTGTTGCATATTATGTGTGTTTTTATACCGAAATCCACATTATACCTCTAAAAATACCTACCTTAAATGAATTCGTTCTGTTTGTGCATTAGAAGGATCTACGTGCAATATGTTAAATCTCCAGGCGCTAAAGGAAATACACTCAGATGTTACGGGAGCTAATAGAGGGTATCTGCCGGTCAGTCCCTCTTGACTAGAGCTAACTAGTTTATATAGGTATGCGTATGGTCTTACATGTTCAGATGTACATTTATGCGTGTAAGCATATGCATAGTATATTTTTATTATTCGTTATTAGATGATATCATGCGATATACATATGCACACATGGATAACCTTAGACCTACATTCATATACATATTCGAACAAACTTAATATAGCACGTAAAATTGCATCTTTATATGTATGTGTGTGCGTACATAAGTGCGAAGTGATGTATGTATGTATGTATGTATGTATGTATAGCGACAGTGTTTTAATCGAACCTCGGTTGAAGCTTTGTTGCTCTGTTTTGTTGATTTTTATCGCCCACTTTCCGATTTCATTTTCAAGTCGCGTTTCATTCTCATTTCGTTCGCACAGCTTTTGTGTTGCTTTTTGTGCTTCTCATTGTTGTCGTTGCTCGTTGTTGCTTTTGCTGCTGCTGTCGTCTTTACCTTATTTCAGTTTCAGTCACAGTTTTGCTTCTACCGTATTCTCATCGAGTTCACTTTAAGTTTGTCTCACCTCGAGCTGGGCACAGTTTCAAATAAACATTCAATGCGAGCACAACAAGTTAGTAGTGAAACGATTTCAATATACATATAAATACCAAATCTCTTGGTGTATATATGCATGTACATAGGCAAAAAAGTATTCATTTTTTAATTTTTTGTTTTTGTGAGAGTTTCTTCTTTTTTTCATAATATTATTACACGACTAGATTATAAGTGCTGTTGACAGCTTGTATGGCGAGCGTTATATCTAATTTTCGGCTGTTAACTACGAGCTTTTTGTGTCGTTATGATAAGCGAGACTGCTTGGCAATTTTTCTCAAAATTGTAACACATTTCTGAGTCATAGCATGCATCCGGCATTTAACTGGCGTTTCTTAATGTTTGGTTCCTTCAATTACGGTAATTGCGGCTTACTCACTCTTGCGTTTTGTTTGTATTTTTCTGATTACAGCAAAACATGAAGCTCTTTGCCCTGCTCCCCGTGCTCCTGGGCATTCTGACAATTGGTCAAACTAACGCAGCTGCAGGCTCCTCTCATCTGCTATGCTACTACGATGGCGCCAGTTTCATCAGGGAAGGTAAGAGAAAGTGGTTATCGTATTAAGTAATAATGTTAGCGTATTCAATATACTAGAGGAAAATAAAAGTCAGCCTAGGTAAAAAGAATGAGTATTCTATTTATTGTATCTAGCTTTCATAGTTTCGGTGCGGGGGTCCGTCAGGTGTTCATACAGATGTACATGGCTTAACCGACTAAGTCGTCGTTGGGTATACATATCCCATTGGGTAGGGATAGCAGATGCTTTTTCTGCCTCTTACATACATCTGAAAAAAAACGGTATTTACCCAATTTCAATGAGTTCAGAGAATAACGAGTAAGATTTGCTGTCGTATATAGAATCTCTTTTTTCATTAACGGAGAAAAGTTTGCGTTTGTATGGACAGGTGACCAGATAGATGGTCAGCAAGTGGAACAGAAAGATAGAGTATACAAGATTTTACAGAACGTAGAGCACACGAGAGCATCATCCCAGCTGCTATGAGTAAAGGCAATTCAGACCTGTATCCAGAGTGTCTGTTCGCCGAGTAACCGCGACTTGGCAAGTTTTATTTGTTCTTATTGTTATGAGTTGTGAGCTGTGATATTTTTAGAAAGCAGTTGAAAAGGTTATCACGGATTTGCAGCGTGTACCTAAGATGCTTGTTTAAGAGCAATATCAATTAACGCGTCTCTCATCCCTTTTATTTATTAGGCAAGCGTATGTATATACTTACGTTATACTTTCGAGTGCGCTGATAAATTGTTTGAGTATATTTACTCTTCATAATTGTTTACTTAGTGACTATGTTACAAATGCAAATCGGAAAAGGGGTGTTAAATTAAAAAATGGTTACATAAACTCATTTGTTCTAGAATTTGAAATAAATCTAAACTAATTGTAACCATTTATTTCGCAACGTTTATTTGCAGTATAATATATTTTCCATATATCTATTCTGTTAAAAAGCGTATTAGAAAAAGTATTTTGATACCAAGAACTCTAAGTTGAAAATTGGTAAAAAAAAAAAAACATATAGGGAAAATGTAGTTAACATTGAACAAAATGAGATTGACAGCTTGAGTCGATTTATGACAGGTTGTAAATCTAAAGACTTGAAGTTACATATATAGACTCTTGCATAATAAACATAAATCAGGAATATTTGGATATAAGGAGCATAGCATTTGTAAACAAAAAAGTTATTTGTTCAAGACCTTTATTTTGCGAACTACCCTTCATATGACAGTTATATGATATTGTGATCCGATCCGGCAGATTCCGACAACTGTACTTCCCGAAACAGGAAATAGCTTTAAAATTGAGAGAGTAGTTTGAATAGAGACGGACTGACGGACATGGCTATAGCAAGTCAGCTGTTGATTCTGATCAAGAATTTATACTATCTACTTTATGAGGTCGTAGATGTCTTCTTTTAAGCGTTATACATATAATTGCAATACCCTCTACAAGGGTTTAAAACAACAAGGGCACCAATTAAGTGAATAACATTCAGCAGTCGTGGGCATAAGATCAGCGAGCTAAACTCTCAAGTAGAGTGTGAACTGAATACAGCCCATACAAGTTGACGCCTGTTGTAGCTGTGTTTGTTAATTGAAAATCATGTGACACACTTTTGACGATGTCGCAATTAAGCTAAACTTTTGTTAATTGGATATTCGCTACGGCAATGCGATTTTTCTTGGGCAGTGCTCAAACTAAGATACTTGTCAATCTCTCTCTTTCTTTTTCATTATTCGTGCTGTCTCGTTTTCACACAGGGCTTTCCAAGCTTACTCTTAACGATTTGGAGCCGGCAATGCAGTTTTGCACACACTTGATCTACGGTTATGCTGGCATAAATCCCAGCAGCAATAAACTTGTTAGTACCAACGAAAAACTCGATCTGGATCTAGGCAGCAGCCTGTACCGCTCTGTGACTGGTCTAAAGAAGAAGTACCCAGCGTTGAAAGTTCTTCTTAGCGTTGGTGGCGACAAAGATGTTACCGACGAGGAAAGCTCGAAGTATCTGACACTGCTGGAGAGCAGCAACGCTCGCATTCCATTCATCAATAGCGCCCACTCACTGGTTAAGACCTATGGCTTTGACGGTCTTGATCTGGCCTGGCAGTTCCCTAAGAACAAACCCAAGAAGGTGCACAGCGGCATTGGCACATTCTGGAAAGGCTTCAAGAAGATCTTTTCCGGCGATCATGTAGTCGATGAAAAGGCTGAGGAGCACAAGGAGGAATTTACGGCACTGGTGCGTGAGTTGAAAAACGCTTTCCGACCGGATGGATATCTGCTGGGCCTTAGTGTACTGCCCAATGTGAACTCATCACGTAAGTTTTTTTGGACTCTTGTCTAAGGAGCTTAACTTTAATTCTGTAATCGACGCAGTGTTCTATGATGTGCCCGCTTTGATCAACAATCTGGATTATGTCAATCTACACGCCTATGACTTTCAGACCCCCGTGCGTAATCCAGAGGTAGCTGATTTCCCGGCGCCTATCTACGAGCTAAACGAGCGCAACCCCGAGCATAACATAAACTTCCAAGTGCAGTACTGGCTGAACAACCATGCGCCCGCCTCGAAAATCAATGTAGGCATCCCTACATACGGACGCGTCTGGAAGCTTACAAAAGATTCCGGCCTGACTGGCCTACCGCCTGTATCCGATGCCGATAATGTCGGCCCCGCTGGTGTTCAAACTCAAACTGCTGGCTTTTACAGCTGGCCAGAGGTATGTGCCAAGCTACCCAACCAAGCCAACCAACATCTTAAAGGCGCTGATGGACCACTCCGTAAAGTGGGCGATCCCACTAAGCGATTTGGAAGCTACGCTTACCGCTCAGCCGACGACAAGGATGAAAATGGGCTATGGGTAGGATATGAGGATCCCGATACAGCAGCTATCAAGGCCTCCTACGTAAAGAGCAAGGGACTGGGAGGCGTAGCCCTTGTTGACCTCAGTTTTGATGACTTCCGCGGTGGCTGCACTGGCAACGAAAAGTACCCTATTCTACGCGCCATCAAGTATAAGCTATAAGCGGTCACATTCCCCCAAATATGTAACCCGTTTTTATGACTTCGATTATATGTATCTGTTTTTATTCTGACTAATCCATAATAAACCTATGTACCCATGTACAATCGTTGACACAAAGTTTTCAAGATAAGTAAGTACTCTGCGTAAGGTCGCACATATTCGTGTTCGCTCGGATCGGTAAAGCTTGTTGGGCGATGGCCCATGCTTTTAGAGACCAAAATCATCTAATGATTCCATTCATCTGATCCATATGCTTGGTGTAACAGAGCGGCATCGTTGACTTTTGTTCTTTGACTCGGATTTTCTACTAAGGTTCAAATAAATTTTAACAATGATTTTTGAAAATGAGTTTGAGACCGATTTGATAATAAACAAATAAGTTTCCTATAGCATTTTTTTTTTCGTGATTTTTCCACATGGAAAATTTATCAACTACAGTAAAAATTTCAGCTTGCTAGCTCTTATGGCTTGGGCTGTGCGTTGATCACGATCCAGTCAGCCAGGAGAAAGAGTTAATTTCCCGATTCACTGAAACTCACACAGAGTACCTGCTACAAGCATTCTAGTTTTTTTTCGCATACAAATACACAGAATCACACATGTTAATGTCTGATCCTTTTTTTCTAGAAAATAAATAAGACATAAAAAAAAACGAAGTGTACTTGAAGCTACGTATCAGATTTGGCGACTCTAGCTGATAAGCCCAAAAGCTCCGAAAACAGGATCTTGATATCGTTACTTTTTGATCGCATGGAAACTATGCAAGCTATCAATAATTTGAGACAAAATCGTACTGAGTGAGATTGATACGTTCATACATACAGGCAGTCGGACAAACAAGGCCAGATCGATTTGTTTGCTGATTCGAGAATAGGTGAATTTCAACATATATATCAGATATCACACATTAACAATAATAATAATAATAATAATAATAATAATAATAATAATAATAATAATAATATTAATAATAATAATAATAATTATAATCATAATAATAATAATAATAATAATAATAATAATAATAATAATAATAATAATAATAATAATAATAATAATAATAATAATAATAACAATAATAATATAATACAATATAATGATAATAATAATAATTAACATTTACTATGAGAACTATGAGTGGCAACCTTTGTCTGTTCTAGCTGCCCCATCTATATGTTGTATGGTTAGCGTTAATATGCAAGATGTAAATGCTTTACATCAAAGTGGGTTTTATTAATAATGGATGGAATAAGTAGCACTCGTACTGAATATGAAACAGCTTCAATGAGCAGCGATTTCAGAGTGTGACAAAATAGTAAATAGACTGGGAGAAAATCAGTGCATAATGTTCCATTGCTCTGGCTGTGACTTCATTTCTGCATTTCTTCCGGCGATTGTGTCAGCCTGCAGTTGCCGTTGATTGTTTTATGTGCAATATTTGTGTTGGTGCTGCTATTGTTGCTCATGCCCGTGCCGGAAAAGGCACCTAGCAACAGCCGTAGCAGCAAAATCGTCCAATGTCTCATTCATCTTTTGTGTAGCGGTCACGCTGGGCCCACTTGAACCATTCGCGTTGCCGTTGCTGACAACCACTAGACGCAAACACACCCCTCCGCCGCCCTTTACTGCCCGCACTGCTCTTTGGATCACTTTATCATTTGCAAAATTGCAAAATGCAACCTCAAAACCATAACACTGACGCACACAAAGTATATTTTAGAGTCCAGGACAGCATCAGGCATACGCAGTACTGCCCGGAAATGTGTCTGTCCGAATATGGGCTAGTTCTGTACACAACTGGGTGCCGTTGATTTAGTTCTCAGTTCGAAGAACGGCTTGCACTTGGCAATGTTCCTGTTAGGGTATCATTGGTAACACCAACACCAACAACAACACCAACACCAATACCATCAGAAACAACATAAATCTTACGTCTGCGTTGAGCTAGCGACGTTACCAGCCATCTCAGCTCCCAGCCACTATTACCCTGGGGCTGGTGTTACTGATGATGCTGCTACTGTTCATGTTCCTGCTGCATGTTGACCAAAATGACGGTGGCAGACGACATTGCAGTTGTCATTGTTGTTGCTGTTGTCACTCGTTTGCACGCATGCAATTAGTCAGACTGAAAATAACAAGTTGCCGTGCAAAATGCCACGCCCCAGCCGAGGGTTGTAAAGGGACGCGATGTCAACTTGTTAATTGCGCACCAGCCGATTTTGACGTGGCACATGAGCATTGCTTATCGGTTTAAGTTAGCACACCCAACCTGCTAACAATTATCGCAGCAATTTGAGCACACATTTAAGTTGGGGCCTAGTCATCGAGTCGTCATTGCTGTTTTTGTCAGTCGCAGCACGCATATTGATGATGTAGTCACATTCCATGAAGTTCATACCGATTACATTCAGCACCAATAGCCATAGAGAGATTGGCAGATACACATATGGATACTTACACTGATACTTACAGATGATTACTGAACATGTCTACAAATGGCCCACTAAGGTAGCATCATGTGTGCGTTGCTGTGTCAGCACCTGACCCACAAAAAACCCAAAAGCAGACCCAAAACCGTTACCAGCTAAGGATAAACATTTTATGGCTAGACCACGTGCAATATACCAAAGGAATCCAGAGAAATCCTATCGCTATACGAGTATATTTTAGCCTTGACACCAATTCTGAATGGTCAATAGGCAAACATTGAATGTTCTCGCAGTCGTTAACCTTACATGTTGCATGATACCGATTCTGAATGGTAAATGGCCAAAATTAAATGTCCTCACAATCGTACATGTGACATGTGACGTGCAATGACGTGCATTTGTAAATACATACACATTTATGTTATTGTGGACGTAACTTCGATCTTATATGGCTAGTAGAAACATCAATTCTTCAATAAGTGGTTGAGGAGGCTCAAAAAATCAAAACCGCAACTTTTTCACCTCTTGGAAGCTTACCATAGATGTTTTCTTTCTCGATGGAATACACATACATATTTAGATTGCGTGGCATGTTTACAAGGGAACATTGGTTAAGTGGGCAGTAATGAATCATTATATAAAATATATGTATAGTTCTCGTTTATTTTAGATTTTAATAGTAGGGTGCAGTCCCGAATTGCAGTAGTTCTCAGATGGAGCTAATAACAAAAGTAATTAATTATATTGGTAGTCCCAAAGTAGATATTCTGCAAGAATTACTGAAGAGAAGTTGTTGAAAAAACATTAAGTCTCTAATTCGATTTTAAACGGCAACAGCCCAATCAAATATGTGCTTAATTAAAAACAACTCTGGGCTGTTTTTCCAATTCAACTTTGGAAACGAATGGGCTTTGCCAAATTCTGGCGGAAGGCAAGAGCGCCTGGCTACTGCAAAAGAAGACGATTGCATATCCTACAGAACTTACATTCATACGTACAATTATTTATTTGTACACCATAGACATTCTTTTAAGTTTTTTAAGCATCTTTTCTTGATAACTGTTTGTATAAAAGCGTTTATCTCAGAAGCTGCAGAAACTACAGATTTGAAAATTTTAATAATTATTCTCGTATACCATACGAAGAACGATCGATATCTCGCCCCATTTTAATTGTAAATATAGAAAACGATTTTGAAACTTGGTTTCTTAAGCATAGCTCAAAAGTTATAGGAGCTAGCACATGCATATTAAGAATATTTTACGTTTTGATTATCTTCTCACAACTTTCCGTGAGGTGAGACAAAACTCGTCTATAAAGCAGATCCAAGCGGATTGGCATTTCCACACATTTGGGTGGAATTTTTTTGGCGGGAAAATTTCATATCAATTGGACTAAGATATGGAAAAAATTAATGCTTAGAGCGGGTTCAGGGTGTGCCTAAGTCGGAACCTCCCGACTAGAAAGCTCGCTTGTTTTTATACCCTGAACCCATTAAAAATGGGTATAAGGGTATATGTATTTGAGCAAAATCCAAATGTATGTAACAGGCAGAAGGAAGCATCTCCGACCCCATAAAGTATATATATTCTTGATCAGCATCAATAGCCGAGTCGACCTAGCCATGTCCGCCTGTTTACCTTTTGGTAAAAATTAAGAGCTAGAGTCACCAAACATGACATATAGCTTCTAAAATAGAATATATATATGCATTTGATGTTGGAAGAAGAGGGTTCAGGGTATCCCCTAGTCGGGAGTTCCCGACTAGAACCTCTTTTTTGTTTTTTTTTTTTTAGCCTATGCATGTACAACATGTACCGTGTAAATATGGCTGCCGCTCACGTGCACATTTTTACCATGGGAGTCCTATGTTTACGACTCCTCAGGGGCCACTTGATTAGGAGCAGCTGTGTGAGAGTTGTACGAACATTTCTACGACCGCTTCGTGAGTGTCAGCGAGTGCTTACGCCCTAAATTGGTTTCCGTTTGCTCTTTCCTCCTAAAATAGGTTTAATAATTTTGTCACGCAATGAGTGGGCTTAAAAGAAGACAAGCCCATAAACTGTATATATTCTTGATCAGCATCAATAGCCGAGCTGATATTGTCACATCCACCCGTCTCAATGTCTGCTTATTCCTCATTATTCTATATTTTGTTAGCTCTCGTCACGAGCTTCGCACAGATCCAGCAATTTGGACAGGCTGTACGTACATATGTCAGAAACGATTGCAAGCTTGTATCATATAGGAACTATCGGTGAAAACTTAAGTTTCTGTATAAATAGGATTTAGGTTTTTTAAGATATCTTGACTTATCTTATCATTTACGAGTTTTATTATTATGTTCTTTACATATACGTTTTTGATGAAAACACTTTTTTGTTTTTAATATATTTAGATTAAGCTTTACATGTACCCAAATTCCTGTCAAGGAAGATTGAGTCCATAAAATGAGTTTTAGAATAAAAAACAACCTCTGTTGTTCAAGACATTTTGATCAAACTTGGCATTCACATCTTATCAACATCAGCTTCGCATATCATGTAGCACATAGAAACAATTTGTTGAAAAACGTGTTTTTGTATGGGAAGCTCTCAAATTTGTTTTAATCAGTAGTATAAATATATACATAAATATATATGCTACTATATACATATATTTATACTACTGATTATTAAAAATTTGA